TAGATTTATATGATAACATTGCATCAGTAGACGTCACTTAAGAAATAGGAAGAAGACCTTGCATGTAAGGTTCCCGCTGCATATACAAGGCAGTACAAAATCTGGCTACGTTAGTGTGTTAGCGCATGCGCAATATCTCACCAGAGGAGTTATCTTTTGTGATGAATATGCATTTAATATAGTTAGGGGGTATCTCAATCCTTTAATTATAAGGCGAAAAATCTTTCAAACTGATATGTATGATACTGTATAATATGATGAATGAATTGCATTTTTATATTGGGGCATCGCCGCGACACAAGAGCCGTACAAAGTCCATTTACTGAAAAAACGGGTGCAATCATTAGAATTATAAACATTATACAGGCACTGGCGCATGCGTGCTATGTTGCGTCAATAGAAGCTCTGGCAGGTGGGGTGGTCAGTATAAGTGGTGTATATAGCTGTGCAATCATATCAACGTTGTCCTCTGCACAGCTGCTGCTATGGGTGGATCAAAGCGCTGCGTGTCGGTAGCTTTGGCAAGTGTCACCGTGCTCGCGTTTCTACTCTACGGTACGTATAGCGATGTCTAACTTCGTAGAGATGCGTGTTGCTGACCGGCGGCAGGGTTAAGGATCAACGCATGCTAGCTATATACAGGTTTTGAGACGGCCATATGGAAGATAGGTCCGCGCCAATTTATTGTGTCTGTACCTAACATGTTTTACCGTCGTTAAATAAAGTTTTTACTTACTTACTTACAGGCACACGGTGCCTTCGCAAGAAAGCCGGAGAAATCTTATTGTAGTAGTCCGTAGGGTTTGCGTTTATTAATGAGATATGATATCACGGTGTGTGTGTGTGCGTGTGTGTGTGTGTGTGTGTGTGTGTGTGAGAGAGAGAGTCATGTATGTATAAACGTGAGCGTGCGTGCGTGTGTGTGCGTGCGTGCGTGCGTATGTGTGTGGAGCAGGGACATCAGGTAATAATTACTCTGGACAGCGAACAGATTAAAGAATTTACCTGACCAACGGTTTTTTACCAGATGGAGCATAAATTCGTGAAAAATCTAGACTGCGAAGCGATTTATGTTAAATACGCCGTACGTTCACATAGTATTCAGTATAGATTCTAACGTCTACTGAAACATTTATTGAAGGTCACAGCGTTTGACAGATCTAATACTAAGTCCCGCGTGATTCCCATGAAGAATGTGAAATGTAGTATCGTCTTCCTTTGCGTATAGGTTTGATTAAACTGTCACCTGTTGGTGACATTCATGTGATGTCATCCCCACCTGCGGCAGTGCCTCGCCGGGACACTTATAAAGATAGGTTGGCATGGATTAGTCATCAGTGTGAAAAGCTAGGGCAACTGCAGTAGCAAAATCGTTAGCATTTAAGCCGGGGCTTAATGTGTACTCTGCTCCCAGACACAAACTCGTGTATTGTGCTATACCGAAAATCGCCTCCACCACCTGGAAACGCGCGCTCATCGCTATAGAAATGGCGCCACCTGGTAGCAAAGCCGACATGCAGCAGTTCAATGTACTCCCGAATAGTTATCCGCATACAGATAGCAAGCTCAGGAAGTATGTTCAGCGCCTAAGCACCATCAAGGATTCGCGTAAGAAGGCAGCCATCCTTAGAACGCCACCACCAAGTTCATGTTCGTGAGACATCCGCTCACTCGCCTCCTGTCGGCATATCGTGATAAGATTGCCGACGACGCTGACGACAAAGGGTTCCGGAAGTCGTATCTGAGTAAGATCCCGAAACTCGTCGGCAGGCAGCACGCCGGCGGGAAGATTCGTACGTCGGTGAGCTTCATCTATCTTTAGCTACAAGGGAGCATTTCTAGGCATGGCTAATTACTATCGCTCACACATCAAATCTTTTGCCAAGATTGCCATGTCCCTGACGGCCCTCACCAAAAAGAACGCACACTTTAAATGGACTGACGACGCTGATGCCGCCTTCCAGCAGTTGCGAGCCAAACTCGTCTCAGCACCCATTCTCGCGTATCCCGACACCGACAAACCATACAAGTTGTATACTGATGCTAGTGACTAGGCAGTTGGGGCTGTCTTAGCTCAGAACGATGAGGACGGTCACGAAGTTGTAATACAATACATTTCTCATCAGCTCACCCCCTCACAGGCACGCTGGGGTGTCACACAACGCGAGGCATTTGCCATCATCTATGCCCTGGACACCCTGCGCCATTATCTGGCTGGTGCTGCCTTCACCATCTATACAGACCATAAGCCCCTCGAGTATTTTCTCACGTCGCCCGCAATGAAGAATCCACGCATGTTGCGCTGGGCCACGATCCTTAGCGAGTATCAGCCGAAGATAGTTTACCTTAAAGGTGCCAGTAACGTTCACGCCGACCAATTATCCAGGATCCCTGCCGACCATGAGCGCGTCAACCCTGCGGACACACCTGATCCGCAAGACCGCCATCTAACCCAAATCGATGTACATGCTGACACCGCCGTCAACATGCCTGCTTCGTCACCACAACACACAACCAAGGTACACCCGCTCGTCGTTGATCATACACCCCCAATTCGCGTCTCACCCACCCCGCACCTAACGCGTGCAACATGTGAAGTCACCGCCGCAGATCCCACGATTGATACTGTATCGTTGGACGCCAGCCGCGCAGAGCAGTATCAAGACGCACACACCTGTAAGATCCGTGCCGTGCTCACTGCGCCCATACCAGCATTGAAGGATTTAAAGTGCATCGCATGCTACCTGATTGATGATGATGACCTCATATACTACGCAGCTGAACCCACGCGGGATGAAGACCCCGGTATGCAGCTCGTCATCCCACGCAAATATCAGCACCTTATTACCACTGCTCATCATCAAACCGCGCATCTTGGGTTTGCCAAGACGTATGCACTCATTCGTAATCGCTACTACTGGTCAGGAATGTATGCCACCATTCGTGCGTTTGTTCGTGATTGTGCTGCATGTAACTCCGCCAAGCTCCAACGCATACCATCTCCACTGGGAGCTGCGCCAATCCCAGACTCGCCGTTCCAGGTCGTGGCAGTCGATACCTGTCAATTTACACCGAGAGGCCATCGCTACATTATTCATTTCCATTGCACTTATACGAGTTGGCCGGAGTGTTTTACGGTGCGAGACAAGTCCGCCCAGACTGTCGCTGACCTCTTGGTCAACCACATCATCCCGCGACATTCTTGCCCGAAGGTTCTACTCTCCGACAACGGCACGGAATTTTGCAACCAGGTTATGGATGCCCTCACCCACCACTTCGGCATCAAAGCAGTCCGCTGCGCCCCCTACCATCCCACATCAAACCCAGCTTGTGAACGCTTTCATCGCGTTCTGAATTCCATGATCGCCACAGTCGTTAACCGTCAGCAGACAAACTGGGACCTGTTGCTCCCACCTCTGCTCTCAGCCTACCGTGCAAGTTTTTACGGGACATCGCAACACTCCCCCTTCTACCTCTTGTATGGCAGACAGCCGACGCTTCCGCTTGACAACTTGCTCTTGCCACGAAGGAAGACGTATGACGACGACCCCATTCAACAAACTCTTGAACGATTCCATCAGGCGTACGTACACATTCGTGACGCAACACGTGACATGCGTGCACAAAACAAACGACGCTATGATTGCCGCGCGCGTGACCAGCGCTTTAAGGCTGGAGATTCGGTTTACTACCACGACCCCGTACTTCAGCCAGACACCACACGCAAGCTCGCGTCGCCCTGGAAACCCTTTTACACTATCATTAAAATGCTCTCCCCGAAGAAGTGCCTCATTCAACATGAGTCCAGTAAGCGTCACGTGACAGCGCACATCGACAATCTCCGAGCAACGCATCCCTCAGCTCGTTGGGACACGCCCCGCCCAGTGCCCGACAAGGTGCCCGCGAAGCCCCGCGCTGCTCCCACGAGACAACAGCCACAGCGGCAAGCTACGCTCGCTCATCCACATGCCGCTCGCGCACCTACAGATTCGGACGACTCGCACTCAGATGCTGACAGTGACGGCCCGCCACAGCGCCAGTCGGCGTCTGACAGTGACAGTAACAGTGACAGTGAATTCAGCGCTTCCGATCTCATTCCGCTACGTTACATATACAAGGCAGTACAAAATCTGGCTACGTTAGTGTGTTAGCGCATGCGCAATATCTCACCAGAGGAGTTATATTTTGCGATGAATATACATTTAATATGGTTAGAGGGTATCTCAGCATAAATTTCTGAAATAAATTATTATCAGTAAACCTGTGTTTATAATCAGGAGAGCGCCCTAGCCTGTAAGGTGCAAAACTCCGTACTGCACGCCTGAAACGGTGCTCGCGCATACGAAATATCTCCCGAGAAGAAGAATATTTTGCAAAAAGTATGCAATCTATATAATAATTTGAGTAGTGTCGTTCTGTTTGTTCCTACATAACTTCTAGGCGCGTGCACAAATTCGGGTGAAATTTTTCGTGCTTCATTCCTACGTATCAGGTTCGATTCTAACACTTTGCTTTTTGTTATTTATTGGGTTAAATGTTAAGAAAAAACCATATTTAGAAAATCTAATGGAAAATATTCCTGTAAAACATGCACGATTCAGTTCACTTCCGCTAGGTACGCTGGCTGTAGACTTGCAAACACGCAACCACAGGCTAAGGGATACAGTAGTCTCTCACGTAACATTGCAGTGGATTCGCCAGGGCACACGCGCTGGCTGTGGAATGAAGTCCTCACCCACCTGCACGCTCGCACTCAGCGCATATCTATCTATCAATCTATCTATTTTTCTATCTATCTATCTATCTATCTATCTATCTATCTATCTATCTATCTATCTATCTATCTATCTATCT